TGAAAAGAAACAAGGTCGGTATTATGGGTGAGAGATCGTCGGCTGCCTTCTGAAGCCAGTGGTCGAGGAACAACAAGTGTCTCGTCAGGACCCCAGGTAGGTCGGCCAGCGTCGTGGAAAGTCTTTTCGTAACGGTCCAAAGTCATTGTCTTGTCTTGTCGCTCGTAGGGCCACTAATCAAAATCAATTTTAGCATCAATTCATATACTATAAGTCAATAGATACATAAACCTCCAGGAATTACATTCTGGGGCCACTCAGGTAACAACTAGGGAACCGACCTTGGGAAAGCCTTTGCCAGAGACTGAGGCTTGAAGTTTCTGGGGCGCTGGCTTGGGCTTCTCAAACAATGAGTTCATGAGGTCGATGCTAGTCGCAAACCCACGGCCTTTATCCATGCCAATGGTGCTTGCCGCGAAATTGTCCAACCTATCGTTCTTTGCAATACTCTTCCTCCAAATGGATGATTTCCGTAAAGTGTCTGATCCACTCTTGTCAAGGTCGATCAGTAGACCCGTCTGCCTTGAGGGAGAGTCATTCAGCTCTCTCAAAAGCTGTCGGTCTCGCTTGACTGGGCTGACAGTCTTTCTCAACATCTCCATCCAATCGTCCCCATCAGCAACCTCCAGCTGCACAGGACCAGCAGAGTCCTTAACAGCTCGCATTCTAGCTCTGAGGATGCCTCCAGGAGTCGCCTTCACGGCTTCCGGAACACCCTCGGACGAGTTGTCGTCGAGCTCCGCGGCCAGATGCGGTTCGAGAGAAGACCTCGCCATGTCTTCATCCTCGGACACGTCATATTCATCACCCATATCATCGGCATATTCCTCCTCGAGGGACAGCCTGACATCGTTGGGTGCGGAATCCGCGGAGCTAACCCCTAAAAAAGACTGCTCACCAGAGACCTGGGGTTGTAGGGCTTGAGCTTCATCGTCGAAACCACCGGGAAGACCTCGATGTCTTCGAAACTCGAATGTGTCATCTTCCATGGGGGAGTTGACGGAGTTGATGGAAGCATCGAGAGCCACCTCCTGGGGGGCGGCTGGCTCGTTCTGCGTCATCTCCTCGTCGTCGGAATCATCGTCGTCAAGGCCATAAGTGGTGAAGTGCTCTACTGAGAAGACCCAGACACCAGTCTCCTTGTCGTAGCTCTCAAAAGTTGTGTTCTCGATTCGCTTGAGACGCTCAACGTGCTTGTTAAATCGTTTAGGGTCATTGGCGATACGCTTACCACCGCGAGGCCATGACTGCTCGAGAGCAATCCTGGCCGGAACGTTGAGGCCCTTGCCGACCGGCGGTTTCTTGGCTGATACCGGGTAGACTGTAGCAGATCGAGGCTCAAGCACAATAAGGTTACCACAGATATCAGCCAGATCAATGTTGCTGATGTCCACAGGGACCTTGAAAGAAACGTAGCCAACGTTGTCACGACCGACAGTAAAGCCATCAACCTTTTGGCGCTGCATGCGGTTCAACTTTTCAAGATCCTCCAAGGGAGGTGACATCCAGTATTGTCCGGGAGCATTATCAGCGGTACTGTTAGATGAAGCCTCGGGAGTGGCAGTGTTGTCCTCCTCATGAACGATAGCCAGCTCGTTGCCCTTAACTTCCTCCATTTCAGGAGTCTTGGAGCCCGTCGAACCGTTCGAGCCATTGGCTGTGCGGGTCTGACGGGGGGTCTCGTCGTTGGCTGGGCTGTCAACATCGCTAGCAGCAGGAAGGGCACCACGAACAGGTGTGCTGTCATCCATGTCAACGTTGCTTGTGTCAAAACTGACACGCTTGGAGAGCTTTCGGGAACCAGTTCCGGCATCTGTGGCTCTGTCCTTCTGCGGTGTGGAAAAGAGATCACTCCTGATGTCTCTGTTGATAACGAGCTTCTTGGAGCCAGTGCTTCCATACCACCTGGGCTGAGATCCATTAGAGAAAGCTCCGGGGGCAAGAATACTGTCTTCGGTGTTGAAGCTGCGGCGCAGGTTGTTGGTCGACAGGCTTTTACTGAGATTTCCAGATCGGCTAGAGCCTAACAAACTGTGACCGAGGTTTCCAGGTGTGCTGGAAATGCTACTGGCGGGGCTACCCGAGGGGGTTCCGTAGTTGCTGTAGGAAAAGCCGAAGCCTCGCTTTTGGGGAGTAGCATATCGAGAAGCAGAAGCCGGAGCCAGCTTATACATAGGCAGAATCGAGCTTCTTCTTGGCTTTGAACCACCACTCAATGGAGTAGCCAGGGGTCCTGGATTCTGGACTTCGTTCCCACCGAGACCAGCAAACAGACCAGGAGAACCGAATGCCGAAACGTCGTTGAGGTTGGCAGTTAGACCCTGAGGGGCGTTGACGGACTGGCTGTTACCCAGGATTGAAGCTCCATTCTGTTGCTGTTGCTGGTTTGTGCTGCCGCCGAACAGAGAAGATCCAGCGTTCTGGTTGTTTTGGCCGCCAAAGAGACTGCTTCCAGCATTGTTGGTGCTGCCACCGAACAGACTGGGCTTTTGCTGCTGGTTATTGGCAGCACCAAAGAGGCCGCCGGTATTTTGGTTCATCTGAGTATTTGAGGCCAAACCGCCGCCGAAGCCAGTTCCAGCTGTGTTCGTTTGAGCTGTGGTACTGTTTCCGAAAAGGCCACCAGTTGGGGCAGGCTTGCTACCGAACAGACCACCAGTAGCATTGTTGTTGGCGGCACCAAAGCCAGTCGTGTTCGTCTGCTGTTGATTGTTGCCAAATAGGCCACCACTAGTGCCAGTTGTGCCAGTGTTTGTGTTGCCGAATAAGCCAGTACCAGCAGGCTTCTGTTGGTTGTTGCCGCCAAACAATCCGCCCGACTGTTGTGTTTGGTTGCTCTGGCCAAAGAGGCCACCACCGGTGTTTTGCTGTGTCTGGTTGTTGTTCTGTCCAAAGAGGCCACCACCGGTGCCGGCAGCTTGAGTGTTGTTGCCGCCGAAGAGGCCACCGCCGCTGTTTGCAGTGTTGTTGTTTGCGCCAAACGCGTTGTTTGTGGTGCTGGCTCCAAATCCACCCGTAGTGCTGGTATTCGTGTTTCCGAAGCTGAACCCGGTACCGGCAGGCTTGTTCTGAGCGGCTCCGAACAGTCCACCACCGGTATTCGTGTTCGTCTGACCGAAGCCAGTTCCGGTGGTGTTCGTGCTACCAAAGCCACCTGTAGTGTTGGTGTTTCCTCCTCCAAAAAGACCGCCGCCAGTCTGGTTCGCCTGCGTGGTGGTGCTGCCGAATAGGCCTCCAGCAGGTTTGTTCGCAGTGCTGCCAAACAAGCCTCCGCTGGCGGTGTTGTTGTTGGTTGCTCCAAAACCAGTCGAGCCAAAGCCAGTGCTGGGTGTTGAAGTGTTGTTGTTCGTGTTGGATCCGAAAAGACCACCACCAGTGTTGGCCGTCGTGTTCGCCCCAAAGCCTGAAGCTGCGGTGGTATTTGTGTTAGTTCCAAACCCTCCGCCAAAACCTGAGCTCACGCCAAACGCACCACCACCAGTAGCATTGCCATGTCGTCTTCCTTGAACGTAATCGGCAAGTCGAAGTTCGTCAGCCGACCACTTCTTGTAAGGGTCTTGGAAAAGAATGTTTTGGTAAGAGTTGGTCGAGGTACTGTTGGCTTCCTTCTCGCTCCATGCTTGGAAGGCCGCAACTGCAGTGCCAGGAGGGTCGCCCGCAGCGCCGCCAAGGGTATTGGTGCTTGAGGCGCCAAATCCTGTGCCAGAGCCGAATCCAGAGCCGAAGCCCGTCGTCGCGGTGGTGGTGGTGTTGTTGCCTCCTCCGAAGAGCGATCCGCCGGTGTTGGCTGTGGTGCCAAAGCCAGTCTTGTTGGCAGTGTTGCCTCCAAACATACCACCTCCTGTGTTGCTACCGAACGCTGATGTGGTGTTGTTTGTGTTGCTTCCAAACCCTCCAAACCCTGTGCCAGTGCTGGTGTTGTTGTTGGCGGTCGAGGAGCCGAAGAGGCCACCTCCTGTGTTGGTAGGGGTAGAACCGAATGCAGGTTTAGCTCCAAAGCCGCCAGCAGTATTTGTCGATCCAAAGCCGCCTAAGATGCTGTTAGTATTTCGATGTCGATAGAGCTTCGCGCACTGGATTCCTCTCTCAATGGTAGATGACAGCGATGCGATGAAGTAAAATTTGCGTACCGGATGTTGAGCCAAAGCCGCCTGTGGTGGTATTATTATTATTATTTCCGGCTCCAAAGAGGCCACCAGAAGTGTTGTTGTTTTGGCCAAAGCCGCCGAAGCCGCCGCCGAAAGACATGATGGTCGCCGATGATGAAGTAGTTAAGGAGTGGATGTCAGTCTGCGCTCCTGCGATTTTTCAGGGCGAGCACGCGTATGAGCGTGCATGTGGAGAAGAGAAGTTGATTGAGCTAGGGTGAGGTACCTCAGTGGCTTTAGTAGCTTAAGGTCTGTCGCACCTAGGCCCCAGTGCGTTGCTGCCTCAGACAAGAATTTTGTAGCTTGATTGGTTCTTGAGCTTGAACAGCCAATCAGGTTTTGCGCCAGAGCTACCTACTGGTTGAGTCACTGATGCCTGCGGTAGGCCTAAAATCTACCTGCTTCAAAGGTACCAAGGCAGACTCAACGTCAGCCAAAACCGCGTTTGGTTGGCCAGCTCTGCGCGCGCCTGGGAGCCTAGAAAACAAATGACATCTTGACTTGGTAATTTGCTTCACTGCCTCAATCATTTCTGATATTGAACAGCTGATTTGTACATATTCAGGCGGGTGCTTTCTAATCAATTGTTTACAAATGCATCCTCGAGCTGAACTATAGGTAACACTTTACAATTTCTCCCGAGGTTAGGCTTTGATCACGATCCAAAAGGTATTATCCAATAGCTTTTGCCTTGTTCTACGTCTGAACCACAATGACTGTAAGTTCGGACCCACCTGAGCCATCCACAGCAATGACAAACAATGAGCTGCCCAGCCAGACCAGAAAATCTTGAGCCTGGAGATGAAAGACCCAATACAGATTTATTAGTGTTCAGACATCTAAGGTATACAGATGACAAGAGACTTCAATTTCAAACTAATATAAATCTAATTGTTGTATGTTGAGACCCTAACCATAACCCATGTAGCCATTGCCAATTTGCTGCAACAAGGTACACTAATTTTTTCTACCACCGCGTCAATGGTCGCGTCAAACAACCTACCTCTTAAGCATCCATCTCCTTCAGCTCTTTGAATACACAACACAACCTTGCGCCACGCTCCTCCAACATCTTCGCCCTGTCGCATCAGGTACCTTTACTATTGTCAACCTCTGCGATCACAACTATCCTCAAATTTCGTTATTTCACCCGTTATTTGGCGCCATTGCATCCACCGCCTTGCTTGCTCGATTGCCGCTCTCTCCCAGCCACATTGAGAAATCAAAACAATGAATTCTCATGCAACGCCACGTACTGCCTTTCAAGGGCGCTCGTTAGGCGGCTCGGGACTTCCTCCGCAGTCGAGGCAGCCAGTTGCTCCTCAAGTGTCCTCAAATGAGGACTATAGTACGATTCCGGAGGAGGACCGCGAACATATTGATGAAGTTGTAGGTTGGGTCCGAGCCGCCTTGAGAAACTCTCCGCTCACAGTTACTTCTGCCAGTTTGATTTGATGGACATGAAGAAGAAGGGATGGCTCAACAGTTACGAATTCAGACACTCGCTAGCAGCGCTAGGCTTTGATATGTCCAAGCCTGATTACTTCAGAGAACTACAGTCATACGGCTCTGTCCCTCCCGAATGGCAAGATCCTCACAACTGTCCTGTCAACCGCCTCTATGTTTACCTCGACCAATTCCGATTATGCGCTGCCAAGTTACTCGCCAACCGCGACCCCAGACAAGAAGCAACAAAAGTGTTCAACATGTTTGATTACGACGGAGATGGTGTTATTTCCTTTGAGGACATGCGACGGCTAGCTTCCGATATCAAGGAAGAGAGGACCATGACAGACGAGGAAATTCAGAGCATGATTGAGCATCTGGATCACGAGGGCAAAGGCGGTGTAAACTTGGAAGAATTCATACAGATGATGGAGGAGGCTGGTTAAGTCCAACCACAGGAGTTCAAAGAATGGCACAATACCAGCCGTGCCAGAACATGACAGTGAAAAAGTTCGGTGCAAGTGGCATCGCTTGGGGTTCGCATATTATCCACCATGTCGCGCTTCGAGGTCGATATGTGGGCTTGCAACATTGAATCTCTATCTTGAGCCGATAAGGTGCTTGTTGCAACAGATCGAGGCACATGGCTGTCTCAGAATCGTCCTCGCGAGCACAGAGTTGTCCCGAATACGCGAGGCTTGGCCAGCCGAGTCAAGCCACAGTCAGACAAAGAATGATTCAGACAGCGACCTTTCAAGCGATTTGGGTACATTTGTTAGCTGCTGGGCGCATTAAGTATTAAAAGAGAAAAGGGGAATGGCGTAATATGGCTACAACGGATTCAATGGGTAGATTTCAATAACATCTAAGAATTGTTTTTTTTTCGAATGCGCCAGGCGCGCTGTCTAAAATCCCAGAATCCATCACAAAAGCTTTCCCATTCTCCCATCACAACTAAGCCACCCAAATATCAGACTCAACAATGGTCCAATACCATAAAAATGTACCGAGAACAGGGGAATACCATCCTTCGCCTGCGCAAAAAACGGGAATCGGGTTCAGGCCGGGATATGAAGATGAACATACAACAAAGAAAAGTCAAGGGTAATCAATCAAACCATCACACAACTAGCTGGTCACTGATATAAGAGCGTAAATTTCGATTTAGGAACTCAACTTAGAACTGGATCAAGTCGTGGTTCTGCTGTTGTTGCTGTGGTGCCTGCTGATGGGCGAAGGGGTTGTTCGTCTGTCCATTCATGCCAGCAGGCCCAGTCGCAGCAGGCATCTGAGCGCCATAGTTGACTGTGGGCATACCCGTGAACTGCTGTCGAAGGAAGGGGTTGTTGCCAGTAGCCTCGGCGTTGATGCGGGCAACTCCTGCACCGGCACTGTTGACGAACGTGCCAGGGGCTGTGTGCTGGGCGGGAATACGAAGGTTGCCTGTGTTGCCAAAGGTGTCCATGCCGTCACCGCTCGCAAGCAGAGTGTTGAGTCGTGTCTCGTGCTCGTTCATCTCCTTTTGAGGAGCGGCGAATGAAGGTTGCGACTGAGGGAAACTATTTTGCGATTGCAGTGGGAAGCTGTTCTGCTGCTGGAGCTGGGGCTGAGTCTGAGGCTGGCTGCCAAATGAGTTGAGGCTCTTCTGTTCAGGAAGCGCTCCTAGGGACGAAATAGGGTTTGGTCGGGCGGACTGGGGGCGGCTGAACTGGGCGAAGGGGTTGTTGGAACCGGTGGGAGTTGGTTGCAATTGCTGCTGACTATTGTTGGTTGCCCAGGGGTTGTTGCTACCAGGCTGGAGAGTAGGTTCAGGAGAAGCAGGTGATGAGAACGACTGCTGCTGGGGCTGCTGCTGTTGTTGTTGCAGGTAAGGATTGAAGCCTGTGGGCTGGGGTTGGAAACCTTGCTGGTTTTGCTGTTGTTGCTGACCATAGGGATCGAAGCCCACGCCTGTCTGCTGGCCGTTGAAACCGGTGTTGTAGTTTGGCTGGAATCCAGTGGGTTGGGTCTGCTGGAATCCAGTATAGGCGTTGTTCATGTAGCCAGTAGGCTGAGGTTGGTTCTGCTCGATAGGGTTGGCAAAGAAGTCAACGGGGTTCCCTTGCTGGTATCCTTGGTTGAAGCCAGTGTACTGTGGCTGGCTGGTTTGCTGCTGAGGAGTAGGATCGTCGTCGAAAAGAGAGGCAGCGTTGCTGTTCTCGAGTTCCCTGCGCCTTCGTTCTTCCTCTTCCTCACTAAGCTTGATTGCTTTCGCCAAATCGTCATCGTCATCTGGTCCGTTCTGTCGGCTTTCGCGCTTCTTCCTGTCTTCCTCCTCCTGATACTTGCTTGCCTCCAGAGCTAGACGGTACTCGGCGTCTTCCTCTTCGTTCATTTGTCGTCTCGGCTGCTGTCGCCGGGTTCCGTGGTTCACAGGCTCAGCATGCTGAGGAGCAAATTCCTCAAGGCCAGTAACGCGCGACTTCCAGGATCTTCGGTCGCTTCGCTCGGCCCGCAGTCTCTCTTCGTCCAAAATGAGTGAAGTTAACTCCTTAGCAGCAACTCGGACTAGCTGGGTATTAGTGGCAGCTTTAAACGGCATATATACAAATACTGACCATTTTGTCCGACATCGCGACCGTCTTCGTCAACATATTGGAACTCTCGCAGAGTCTTGATAATATAAATACTCTGTCGAGCCCATGTAACGACAAGTTCTGAACCCTCATGAAGACAATAATCCAGAACCTTGAGGGCTTTAAGTACGTGACGCCAATTCTTTCCCTTGTCGTTGAGACGCTTATCGATCATGTCCATAATCTCGTAGAACTCGGTGGATCTAATCGCGTCATGCCAAGTCAGTACTTCCCATCACACACAAGGTAGTTGAGCAATGCGCAGGGAGGGTATTACATACGTGTTGTATGTCATTTGAGCAATCTCGCTCATTTGAGTGCCGGTCGGGCCCCATGGGTCATTACTGGTAGCTACATGTCACTGTCAGCGGCGAGGTTCCAGCGACGCAATCGAGAACGCAGGGAGTTCTGACCTTCTCGGACCTTGACCTGGGCGCTAGAGTAACCCTTGGTCACATTTTTGACACTTCGCATTACCTTCGACATGATGGGCGATTTGTGATGTTGACTGTATAATTTCTTTGGTGAACTGGATGCGTTGTGAGCGCCAATGGATCGGCCGAGGTAGGATTTCCCCGTGTGATTCGATGAAGCTCGGAAAAAGGATTGGCCTGATCAAGCTTTACAAGCGACAACCTCTGCGACACAAATCCGACACGCGCCAGTGAGACGGAGTCCACGGAAGTAGTGCAGGGAGGGGGGTTTGAGGGGGTTGAGCAAGGTCCGAGGATCACGAGATATCCGCTCTGATAATTGCGTAGCCTTTGCGACAAGTCTCAGCCAGAAGAACAAGAATCAGTCGCCGTTTGTCTGAAATTTGGCGATCGAGAGGAGGATCGTCTGTGGAGGGTGGTTGGAGAACACAATCGTGGGGTGATTAGGTCTGGATTTCAAGAGGTCGGGGAGACCGATCGGACACGACGTTATAAGATGAGGAGCGAGTAGTAGGAGGGAGGCGAAGTGACAAAGTTTGGGAGGCGGCGAATTCAAAATTGAGGAGAATTCTGATTCTGCCGTTTAGGAGTAGAGCACAGTAGCGGTTAGAGGGACAAAATTGCACTGCTCTTTGCGCGACTCGCAGAGCTGTAGAGGGAAAAGAGTGAGTGCAGGATGATGAATGAATTGGCGCTCTCATGCGGATTGGGAGCGGCGAGCATGGAACCAAGGCCTAATGGACGGGCATGGCCTGGCACATTGTGGCTCTGCAAGCTGATTACGTATCCATTTTCACTCACCAGCTCAGATGAGCCTATACAAGCAGTGCCAAGATTTGCGGGGTTCTTGGGGTTTGCGTGTGCGTATTTGAGTTGATGCTGTCAGAACTTTGCGTGTGTATACTTTGAATCTTCCTTTTTATTCCATTTTGAGGTATTATTCCCCCATTTGTTCTTCTGTTGAGGACTCTTCAACACTCCAATAACCTTCGTCAACTGTGGCTGAAATTTGGCTTACACAGGGTGTCAGAGCGTCTTTTACACCCGCTGGCCCCAATAGGAAACACATACGTCACGCTCCCGAGGGACCCTAGCCGCAGTTGGTGTGGAACAGAAGAAATGCGGCGGTTTTAGGATTATCATCATGCTGCTTATATAAACGCTGGTAAAAAAAGAAAAACATACAAAATAGTAAAAAGGAAATATAAATTACTTCTTGAACCTGTATAAACTCTTCCAGATTTGATACAAGTCTTCCAAAACTCTACAAGACCGGCCATCCTTCTCTCATCTCGGCGCCGCATCAATTCAAGTTGTGATGTTGAATTCTTACTTCCTTACCCTGTCGAAGTTGTTCGCATAGACTACAGTAATAGAGGCACGCAGTACTGTAAGAGAAACGTTGGGACTTTATCGATGTCTATCATTCTGTCAGGGTATGTCTGTTCTGCTTGTGACATCCAATTAGTTGATGAAAGGTGATGGCAGGTTATAATCACTTTGGTATACGCTATGTATTGAATAGACCTTGAGTCGAATCAGTTGATACCCAAAATGAGATACTATTTAATCAGTCTTTTCAAAGACATGCTGGGTGAAAAGTAATGATATTTCCCTGACTTGCCGAATTTGTAAGAAGTGTCGAATTAGCAGCAGCGAGTTTCGGTTAAGTATATTAGTTGCTGCAATGAAGTGTGCGGCATTGGGGTATCTGATTTCGTCGTGAGCGTCCCTTTTTCGTCCGTTGCGCAGAGCTTTGGCTTGGCTTTCGTCTCTTCGAATTTGCCGACTTACACGGAGGATCACAAGTTAGCCCCCTTTCAATTCCACCTCTATCATCTGAACGGCACCTCAACGCCTCTGCCTCTCCCGACCACAAAACTCCCTCTCACTTCTCTTTTCCTTTTAATTCCTTATTGCGTTTCTTCCTTCCTTTCTCTCTTGACCTTCATATAAAAATTTCAAGATCTCCTTCTCTCCTTCATCCACAATTTCAACTTCTCACTTCTGCCACGCCGTAACTTCAACAATGCACTTCAACTTCTCAAGCTTCCCTCTCCTAACCTCTTCTAAGACTCGGTATTTCCTCTGAAGCTTCCGTGATTCATACTCCCTTGTAGTCTTGTCTATAAAAGACTGCTCTTCCTCCTTCAATCCTTGTCTTCATCTCTTCCTTCTTCATCACAACCTTCAGTTCCCTTTCTCCCCTACCCTCAAGTTACATCCATACAATATCCTCTCTTATTCTGTCCTGCAGTTCACCCCTCATCAACATGTCAGACGGGAGCTCCAGTGACTCCGATGCGGAGTTTATTGACCTCACAGGAGGTGATAATTATCATCCAGACATTGATGGGCATTTCAACGATGCTCCTGACCGAGAGGAGATCTCCCTTGGGCTAGACTCCCATGGGGAGCCAATCTCCCACATCATATATCGGCCTGGTGGCCCTATGGACGTCGATAACGAAGAGGCAAGCAGTGACGGCGACCAACACACTCCCGAAGTCGAAGGAAGTCTGTTTTTCGATGACGATGACGATGACATCAGGAATGGTGATGGCGATGACGGTGGACACAGAGGACCTCCATCCCCACCATCATCTGATGACCCGGGTAGCGAGTCCGACGGGTCAGAAGATAGCGACAATCATCATGACGACGACGACAATCAGAGTCAGGCAACCCAACCCAACCCAGGGGCTTCGAACGGAGGAAGCCCTGATGGTGATGATTCCGGTGATGACAGTTCTGACGATGAAGAAGAGTCAGATGACGAAGATGCCGACGATGATCCCATCAATGACGATGATGAGGAAGGGAATGAAGAACATGGGCACAAAAATCCCAACGCTGATGTACTTCAGGTCCTGGCAGAAGAAAGTGTCGAATGGCCAGAATGGAATGCCGAGTGTCTCGACACATGCCAGCCCCCTTGGTACAGTCTTGCTCGCAGATTCGCAGATTACCGAAACCGATTCCTCTTTAAGAGAAACGAATTAAGAGAGTGCAAGAGAGTCAACAGAAACCGGGTCACCGGCCTAAATCGCCAGGTCAGAAGCCTAAGCCACCTGGTGACAGTACTCAAAGAAGCAGTGAGAGAGTTCTACGCCGCCAATGAAGCAAACATTCAGGAGAATGAGAGACTCGTTGAGGAAAATGAGGCTCTGCGAAGCCTTTTGCCCGAAGAAGAATTGGATGATTTCCCCGACCCTGTTCCTCTAAGGGTCGAGGATATGGAGGCATCTCTGCATCAGGACATGAGAGACCAACTGCCGCCAGATATCAAGATGTATCTTCGCGTATGGCGACGCGGACCAGCGAAGCCCCGAAAGACCGAACGTGTACGTACTTACCATTAAGAACAAGACTCTATCTTCAAAATTGCTAACAGTCAATAGCTGTGGCCAAAGGCATACACGCATTGGATCAGACGCGGTCGTCATCCTGACTACAACAACTGGGGAGATATCTACAAGCTCTCCTGCCAGGAGGAGAACATGTCTTGGGCATTCGGAAAACGTACACCACCCAAGACACATCCTCATCTTATCCTGTGTGCCCCGACCGTGGAACAGGAACAGAGCGCTATCATAGATGAGAGTGAGAGTGAGCGTGGAGGCTGCACTCCGCAGCCATATTACCGACGCGAATGCGCACAGGACGAAGAACAAGATATGGGCCCATCCGCTCTCGACCTTCTTTTTCCCAAAGACCGACATTTCATTATGATCAAGGCCCTTCAGTATGTTCTGGTTTTTGATGATGAGGTTGTTCACGCTATCTCTCGATTGGACCCTTTCTTCGAGCCAAAACGTGTGGATCGGAATTGTAACAATAAAGTCTCGCTGCTCCATCGTTTCCATATTGGGCGAGAGAAGATTTCCCTCACGTTCGGGACAATTCACCCTCAGGAACTCCTTGCTCCTCTTATGGTTAGCAAGGAATGGCACTTGATAGGCTCAAGCCTGTTCTATGGAGCAAACAAATTCGCTTTCTCTTCTATTGGCGAGTAGGGTCGCTTTGCGAACAGAATCGGATGCAAGCTCCAGCATTTGCAGCACATCGAGCTGTTGTGGATGGGCTCACAGAAGCTCACGTACAGGATTGACCAGAAGGGCAAGTACACATCTCGTCGGACTCATGATCTGGCCTATCTGCCCGAAGCCTGTCGACTAAAGACGGTTGCTATCCATCTGCCCGAATCCTCCAAGCAATATATGCGGCGAAAACACGAGCCGCCACAAATCGTGGAGTTCCTTGCGCAGAAGACAGCATCTCAGCCAAACTTCCGCCGCTTTCGTGCGTTGCGCACGTTGCAGGGTGCCGATTATCTATACTGCCTTCGTGGAGTCCGGGAGATAACATTCTTCGACTACGACATGTGGCGAGATGATGGCATGAAGATGCCAGTTCGTGACTGGACCTTTGTCCGTGATATCAATGAGTCTGTACGCAGGGACAAGTCTGTATATGACGAACACTTCTCCCAGCTTCGGTACTTGGCTCCCTTGTTGAACGTCCAGCCTTCCGTCCAACTCGCTGCGCAGCTTGAGGGATTCCTCAACCCGGGGCCTCAGCGAATGGGTCTCTTGTCACCTCCTCCTGATATGTACCCCCAGCTCCAGGCCGCTCTGGAGCAGGCTGACGGCTCCGAGAATGAATCTGATGGCGATGCCGGCGGCGGAGATTCTGATGAAGAGATGGGGGGCGACACTGACGACGATGATGATGACGGTAGTGACGGTGATGACGATGATGACGATGATGGCGGCGGTGACGGCGCCGCAGATGCACACTTCAACTATCAACATCTTGCTGCAGATGGTCATGGTTGTGAGCGAGATGAGAGCCCGGCCGATCTCGATGAGGTGGCAGCAGAATTGTCCGATATATTATCTGATGATCAATCTGATTCCGACTCCGAACAAGAGCAGAAGGAAGAGGTATGGTCAGATAATGGGCAAATAATCGACTTAATGAGCGATGACGAGGACGACAATGGACCGCAGTATGGAAGAGACCGGTCCACTTCTCTCTTCGTTCGAAGTCCCCCACGGGAACATCAACCTGAGTTCATCACCAAGGTTGAATCGCCATCTCCTCCCAGGGCAACTCCTCCAGCTCTCGCTAACCAGGATGGAATAACGCCGTTGAGGGAGACCCGCGCGGACAGTAGCTTGTTTGTGAGCCCTACCCCCTATGAGGCTCTGAACCCCCAAGCAGGAGATCGCTCATCGCCCATTGACCTCACTGAACATATGGGGGTGTCATTCTCTTCTCCAGCCCCATCCTCACGCTCGAGCTCTAGCAGCTGTTCTTCAGGAATCAAGCGAGAATGGAGTTTTATCAGCGTGGATGACGATGACGAGAACGATGGTGACGATGAGGATGAGGATCAAGGCTTCCGGCTCTTGGGAAGTTTTCCCAAGCGGCCACGCCTTCCTGATGGTGATGGTGACGGCGACGGTGCTGAAATGATGGCCATGAGGGAGGATCTTGAGGAGGAGTTTGTCCTGGCTTAAATTTTGCTATTTGTGGGCTATAGGAAGCACGGAATTCGGGAATTATTTGCTTTTGAAATGGGAGAGGTCATTGAAATTGAGATGCTTTAGCAGCGGAATTAAGTTCAGGGTCCGGGCGAGAGGAAGAGACATATTCGGGAATCAAGACGCAAGATAGGTACTCAGATTGACGCTATGCGTATCTCATATTGAGAGGATAGTTTTCCCTCACAGATAATTGCTAATAAATACCCCCAAATTGCCCCAAAACACGGCTTGCAATGTCTATATAACCATGTGCGACCAACTTCTACAGGGTAAGGGTGCGAATATCACAACTTGAATTGATGCATGTCGTCCGCAACTTATCTAATCGCTGCATAATGCGGCCTGGTATCTCTTTTTAGTGTTCTTTTAACCTCATGCTCATTTCATGACTTAGTTCTTGAGCTCCGCAGTGGCAGGGTAGTGCCAGCTGCGGAAGGTATCCATAACAGTTGTGAACACGACCAGGAGGATACCACCTCCGGGACCCAAACGGAGAACCTGAATACTTGTTAGTTGACCATCCTTCCACTTTCGGGATGACGACTCACCTTGGGCAAGAAACCCTTGTAGAGAGCACCGAAACCCTCCTCCTTGAAAACGGTTCCTACGGCGGGGAAGGCCCAGTTGTACTTGGGAACCTGACCGGGGACCTTGGGGGTGTTCTGAATTCGACTCTTGACAACGTCCAGGGGAGTGTTGAGAACAGTTCCGATGGTGCCACCAATGGCACCAGAGATGAGATCGTTGGTGATCTGAGCCCTCTTGGTCTCAGCCTTGGGGAGAAGTTGTCGGACTTGGAAAATGCAGCCGAAGTAACCAGCGTTCCAGAGGATGTGACGCCACATAGTACTCTCAAGACCCTGGTAAAGAGTAAGAGGACCCTCGTTCTTGACAGTCTTGACGACACAATCGACCATGCCGTTGTACTTTCCAGCGGAAGCCTTGTCCTGAAGACGAATCTTGACGAGCTCGAAGGGAACGACGACGAAAGCCTCGGTAGCACCAGCAGAGGCACCGGTGAGGATGGAGAGCTGCTGGTTCATCTTGTCGACGCCAAACATCTTTCGGTAAACCTTGCCCCATTCATCGTTGGCAGCGAACTTGGTAGCACGCTTGGGAGCCTCCATGAGGATGGGAGCGGAAATACCGCGGTAGAGTCGTGAGAAACTGGCGCATGTCGTTAGTTGTGGGCGCAACAGAATCGCGAGAGCAGATACCGTACCCCTCCTGCTTGATGATCTTGCGGAAACAGTCAAGCATGCCATTGTACTCAGCGGTAGCACCGGAACCAGTTTGCAATTGGCTGGTCATCAAGTCAGCAATTGGGCTATTATTTCGAAACGCGCACGCATGGTTCGTCATACACTCGGGTCTTGACAACGTCAAGAGGGTACCTGTGGCTGGGTTAGCTAAAATGTCTCGAGCACGCAACAGATGCTGTCATACATCACCAGAATCTACAGCCAGCACAAAATTAGTAATGGCCCTCAAACGAGTCGAACTGGCGCGAGCATACCTCCGAGACGCCGGCAATGGCGCCTAAAATATCAAACGTTAGCCATTGGATCTGGAGAATGGTAGAGTTGAATGAGTTGAACTGGGTACCTGCGGCGAACTGGTAGATGAAGGGGAGGGGCTTGTCGTTAGGGTTGGACATTGTGACGACTGTACAGGCGACCGAATAAAGATGAAGGAAGACCAGAAGAACAAAAGAAGAGGTTGAGCGGAGAGTTGTCGCAAGTTGACAAGAAAGAGAGAAAGCTAAGCTGAGGTAGTCAACGGAAGGGAAGATGGCGACCTCCGAGCGAAGACCGGGCCGGGGAGTGGAGGGAATTTCTTTGGTGGTGCGTCTTTGTAGGACGAGTATGGATCTTATCGCGCTATGGTTAAGTGATAAGATTCCGTAACCTCACTAATAACCTCCACTGTGACAGACGGCGAGAATTAGGTCGATGCCGAATGGACGGAGCCTTTTGTTCTAAACAAGCGCCTTGTATCCGTGGGATTGTGGAGATTATAGCAAGCGACAGTGAGATGAGACCCGGGGGAGGGGTCCATTGATGCTCGGTGAGACGGCAAGCAACCGATCCATGAGGCCCTAACGTCTCCGATTCTTCTCCGACGATGCGATGCTCTTTTTGTGATTGCTGTTTTAGGCAAGTCTGTAGTATATTCTTGGCAGTTTATTAATGTCTTGCGAATAGTGTCAAGCATACTGATATTTGCACATAATCCCAAACCATCATGAGTTTCCTACCTATCTTATGAATGTAGTCAAACTATTGATAATAAAATACCCGGATGCCCGATGTCTGCCGCTAGCCCTGAAGCTCTTGGAGCCCGTACCCGACTATTTACCTTTGAGCCGCTTGTACCTGAACATGAAGGGGTTGGCATCGGCAACGGTGTTGAGGACCCCTTGTCCTCACTACATACTCTATGATAGGCTCTGTTGTAACAAGAGTCCGCAATAATGCAGACGCAGCTCCACGGGAGCCAGGGTGTCAATTGCTGAAGCTTCATACATATGCTGGAGAACACTTGACAGAACCTTCAGAGAAGGTTAGGTGAAGCTTCTTCATAAACCGCAGCGCTTATGATGTGGGTATCTCATGAAAGTGAGGCATGGCCTTATAAGTGACCACGTACATATGTCAATTATATCACTATAAACAAGATGATGGATCTAAATCCAATAAGGAAAGTATTCGGAGACGTTGACCAACATGTTCTGGTATCCCAAAGTACGTGAAGTCTCGCGGAAGCTTGCCAATCATAGGTACGGTTGGAACATATACTTCAAAGACCCAACTTGAGGTACTCCGTACCAGACCCGGATTGCCATCAAGTGATCTTGAATTACATAGGTAACACCTCCAGGAGAATACATATGATTCGGAGAACACGCTAATCCACGGACCTTGACATCTCCCCGCGATGTTGATCCCCGTGCACGGGCGACCGTAGTCTCCATCCCGTCGGCCGAGTGGACCGCGAACTTGGCCCGTGATGAATAGACTGTAACTTGCCTTGATCTTGAGTGATGAAAAGGTCTAGGATAAATCATGATAAACTCGATTAACTGACCTGAAGAAACACTAAGCTTAGATTAACCTCAAGATATTTTGGAAACCTAACAAACAGATACTCTGCAGTCCTCTAAGGAGTAAAAAGAACATTGCAAATTATTGAAATCCTGTCGTATTACTAAGTGTTCATTCTACTATTCCTAGTCCTTCTAACTTCCAACAGGGAGTAGGTCTTCATCCACGTTCACGAGTGAGCCAAAAGGTTCACGAATCCGGTCTTGTAAAGAGTGAATCCTCTGAGCAATGTAAGAGCATTCCACCGGATTCGAATCTTTTTCATGATGCCTTGACAACGACACAGAAATCAGATACTTGCCCGAATCTAGCCGTCCACAAATCTCGAAAGCGACAAATGAGAAACTCCAATTGAAAGCATGTGGTGAAGCGCAAGACCAAGTTTCAGAGCTTCAGAGTTGCACACCTTGGAAAAGAGAACCGTTATTGGTTCAACGTCAATCTGCAATTCACGGAGGGTGTTTCTGGATGGCGGGGTAGGTTCTCCATCGATACAACGGTGACAGAAAAGAGGGAATACGTTTGTGATTTTGTATAAGAAGATATCATCCCAAAATGCTATGATAACAGTACAACATGTGGTGCATAATAGCAATATTGGTAAGATATAACACTCTGAGAAACGGGATTATCTTCTAATTGAGAATGGATGCTTAAAATTTATAAGAATCAAATACCAGACTTTCAATATTACCGGGCCTCTTTTGACGCCCTGTCTCCCCTAGCTGGTAACCAGGGTTGCGATTGGGGCACGTTTTTGGGGCACCATGCTGAATGCACTTGCTGACGCGCACAATTGGCTGGCCCCTCGGTATCGAATCTCAAGGTCATTAATGACATCGCCTCTTCACCATCCCGATCTGACAAATCCCATTCCTTTCGTCTTCTGATTAAAGAAAAGTGTTCCTGCATCTGTTACACTACAGACGCTTGTCAACAAAGATTTCCCCTCCATCCGAAACCCAAAACGACCAGCGCCCCTTTACGCTCTCCCTAATAGTCGATCGAACACGCGCTGGGTGGCAACCTATACCGATCACAAGCAACCGTCGCAATCTTTGCGCCAGCAACCTCAACTTCTGCGCAACTTCACCTGGGCTTGTCGCTATCTCAAGCTCTCCTGCGCTTCAAATTGCACCTTTAAACAGGCCGTGACCCAACGAGCGTCACAGCGAGGTGCCTTTCGCGCCCAGGAGAGTTCTTTCGCCCCCTGCCCATGAGTCACTTATTGTGGAAATCCTACTGGGAAAACGATGTCGACCGGTTTCGGCGTCTGCTGGCCCCAACCAGCTATAATGCCCAGTCGCTATCGAAGAGCCCTGCGATAGGAGGAACTGGTGCACTCTTCGGTGTAAGCCCTGGTCTTCCAGGGACTTCTCCACGACCAGCGAATAAGCAACGACGAGTTTCTGGCCATCCGCAGACACCCGGAAAATCGAAGGACGGCAATACACATCTTGGACGAACAGAAGTCAACAGCCGCGACCATGCTGGATTGACAGTTCTACTTCGTGCTGCCTCATCGACCGACCCGAACGCCCACGAGTTTGTCCGGGCTCTTATCGAACACCCTGCCATAGATCTCTACGTCCAAGATCCCGAGAGTGGCTGGAATGCCCTCCATCGATCCTTATACGCCGGAAATGTTTCGATTGCGCGACTGTTGTTGGAAAAGGAACGAGTGGACTTGACGAGCCATAATCTCAACGCCGTTAATAAAGTCGGACTCCTGATCAAGACGAAAGACCATGAGGGAAACAGTCCTTTTGACGTCTACAACTCAACGATCGCCGCAAGATCTCTGAAGAGCATGGAAAATGGGAGCAATTCCGATAGTGACGCTGATAGCGTTGATAGCGGAGGTGATGGTTTACATCAGTAGGTGGCTCGGGAAACAGAAAGGACTTGGCTGATTCTTGCTACAGTATGGTAAAGACGTCGCATGGATTGCGAAGCTCGATTGATGGTGATGAACTCTTTGTTTTTGGCAGCAACAAGAACGTTTCTCTTGGAGTTGGCGATGAGGACGATCGCCAGTATCCTGATCGTATTCATTTGTCCAGGCCCGAACTTCTCGTGCATCGATTATACCACTCACACTTGGACGAGCAGGATGAGGAAGCCCCTTCTTCGTTGAAACTGGATGAGATTCCGACCCTGGTTCGAAACCGGCCGCTCGTTATTCAAGACGTCTCTATGTCCAAACTGCATAGTGCTATCCTGACAACCGACCCGGTCTCAAATCTGTATGTTTGTGGTGTTGGTCGTGGAGGCCGACTTGGATTGGGAGACGAAAACACACAATTCAGATTCGTACCTGTTGAAGGCCCATTCATTGACAAAAAGATTCACCAAGTGGCACTTGGGCAGAATCATACCATGGCCGTTGTCGATAATGGAGAACTTTGGACCTGGGGCCTGAATTCTGCCTCACAGCTAGGATATGCTCTGCCTCCACCGATGAAGGCAGATGAAGAACCTATGAGCCTTACTCCTCGCCAGGTCTTTGGATCTCTCAAGAAAGAAGTTGTCCTAGGGGTTGCTGCGTCCGCAAACCATTCTGTTGCCCATACAGGAAACTCACTATTTACTTGGGGTCGTAATGTCGGACAACTGGCTCTAATGGACGCCGATTCGAGATCACTTGATATTCAACATACCCCCAGAAAAGTGGCTGCTTCTCTTCTCGCCGCCCCGATCGAGATGGTATCAGCGATTGACAAAGCCACAATTTGTCTGCTTTCCAACCACACTGTCTGGGTCTTCAGTCACTATGGTTATAATCTGGTCAAGTTTCCATTCCCCGATGTCTTCGCGAACAACATCTCTATGACACGATATGAATCAGGCGGTCGAAGGGAGATTGACCATATCACTGCGGGTGGCGAGACAATAGCTGCTGTGACTGCCCGCGGTGATCTCTTCACATTTCATTTGAACGATAAGGGGGATCCAAGTCAGTCTGCTGCATCAACTACGAATCCAGTCAAGATTAAGAATGCCCTTACACAGCCACAATGCGTCTGGGACTCTCGCAAAGACGGAGTCGCATCTGTCGGAGTTGGGGAACATGGCTCGGTCATCATCTGCACAGAATCAGGGGCTGTATGGAATCGTGTAAAGCGTACAAAGGGCAAACTAACTGGATTTTTTGGATCAAGCGGCACGAAGCGCAAAGACTTCAAATTCCAGCGAGTACCATACATCACCAACTGTGTTGCCGTCAGAAGCTCCATTTTTGGCGCTTTTGCGGCTATCAGAAAGGATAGCAAAGTTATGGCGGAGGAGATTGAGATTGGAGAGCAATCTCTTCGCGACGATATTGGTTCTCTACTCTGTCTCAGTGATTTTGAGGCCCAACAACATCACTCTGAAGCAAAAGGCACTCGGAAAACATGGGAAGCTGCCATTATTAGAGAGAAACGAGACCCTGTTACCTACGAAATTCTACGGTCAGCCGATATCGAAACAGACTTGGGGCGCTGGCTGGAAATCAACTCTTTCCAATACGATGACATGAACATGGCAATCTGTTCCTCCTCTTTGCCTGATATAAAAATCCCCGTCCACAGTTGGGTTCTTGCTGGCAGAAGCCCGGTCTTACGGCATGCACTATCAGAGTTACGCGAACGAGGATCAGCATTCAGCACGGACTCTTTCGGCCTCGAGGTTGTGGATGACAAGGCCTTGTTGACGTTGTTTGAAGTTGACACTTACACTGTTCTGAATGTTGTTGTCCATGCCTACCAGGACAGATTCGTTCCAGTGTGGAAGTACACGCGCGAAGCACCTCCACTTGCGTTCCGTTTCCGGCAAGTTAGGACAGAGCTGATGAAGGTTGCAACAAATCTTGCCCTTCCAAAACTGGAGGCGGCAGTCCGCCTACAGACCGGCGTGGAAGAGTCCCTAGACGGCGATTTGAGACAAGCAATCCTTGATCCTTCTTTCTTCGACGACGGCGATATCATCATTGAGTTGGATGGAGAGGACATCATGGCGCATAGCCAACTATTGTGTCAAAGGTGCCCTTTCTTCGAGGCTTTGTTCAACGGGCGGTCTCAAGGCCAGTGGCTCGCCGGACGCCGCGATGGCATGGACTCTGCGGAAAAGATCAGGGTGGACCTCAGTCACATTGACCCTGAAACATTCCAATACGTCATGTCCTTTATCTATGCAGATATCGGACGGGAGCTCTTTGATACTGTCTCGGTGTCTAATTTGGATGAGCTGTCAGAGCTTGTACTTGATGTGATGAGTGCTGCAAATGAGCTGATGCTTGATAGATTGTCCCAAGTCTGTCAAGGTCTCATTGGCAAGTTTGTGACAACAAGGAACATATCGAACTTGCTCAACGAGATAAGTCCTTGCTCCATTACAGAGTTCAAAGATACTGGTCTTGAATACATCTGCCTTCAACTGGAATCCATGCTCGAGAACCACCTTCTTGACGACTTGGATGAAGAGCTCTTGCTGGAGCTTGATGAAGTGGTCCGAGACAATCAACTTGCCCGGTTCCCATTTGTACGGAGCGGAAGAGCAGAGCTACTACTCCATGAAAGTCATCCCGAGTTGGCTGCTGATATCGACGAGGAGCGTCAGGCCAGGATCAAAGAGATGGCCTACAAGGCATCTCAGCGGGATGACGAGAAGAAACTGTCATCATCATTTAAGGCTCGAATGGGAAGTCTAGATGAAGGCAGTCCGCTCCAAACTCCAGATACAACTCGACGCAAGTCCAGAGGTGGGCGGAATGAGCCTTTCAGTCCCAGTCTTCGGCCCAAGCAGTCGCAAGCAGATATGATCTTTGATATGGAGGATGAAGATGGGTCTTTATCTGCTAAACCACGATCGCCCATGAATGAAGCTGTAAATCTTCGTTCGCCTCCGGAGATAGACGACATGCCGCAGCTTCCCAAAGCATGGCGGGAATCAAAGGGCAAGGAGCTTGCAGGCTCGGCCCTCAGCCCAGTTCCTCTCGCATTTTCCATGTCCCCCGAGTCTCAACCATCCGAACTGGGCAGTTTGAAGACACCGGGCGGTGCAATGTCAAAGCCCGGCGCTCCATGGTCAGCGTCAAAATTAGCCACTTCGAAGTTGGATCTAAAAGATATTATGTCTGAGGCGTCTACGTCTGCTTTAACTGCCGGGCTCCAAGCGCAGAGAAAGCAAGATGCTGCAGCAAACAAACCACAGACCAAGATATCTCAAAAAGAACGGAAGAGGCAGCTTCAGGCATTGGCAGCAGCAGAAGCAGCAGCGAAGGACGAGTCGACGAACCATGTACCTTGGGAGAGTGTTCCAGAAGGAGGGCGACCAGCGCCTTGGAAGGCAGCAAGTCCGGCACCCAAGACGTCACTGAAAGAGGCCATGTCCGCGGAATCCAACATGCCAAGGGGGGTATCTGCTAACGCAAAACCTCTGGTCGCTTCAGAAACGAGAGCAAAGACGGCGACACGGCGTACTGCGTCACCCGACACAAGGTTCCCGGGTCAGGGTCGAACCAACAGCTCCCCCGCAATTGTTGCAGGACCCTCGACAGAGCAGCAGCCTAAGAAGCCGTTGGTACCACACTCCAAGTCGTACATTACACCGGCACCAAAAGCGGAGCCTACGCTCGGATTCAGTATGGCTGATATTATTGGCCAGCAGAAGCGCGAGCAGGAGGCCGTCAAGGAAGCGGTTGCGAAGCGTTCACTACAAGAGATTCAGCAAGAGCAAGCGTTCCAAGAGTGGTGGGACCAAGAGAGCAGAAGGACACAAGAGGAAGAGGCCAGGCGAAAGCAGAAGGAAGGCCGAGAAAAGGACAACAAGGGAACTAAAAGGGGTGGTCGGCGAGGACGAGGTGGTAAAGCCAAAGGCACCGGTGAAGCGGCTACAAACAGCGGGCAAAGCGGCGCAAACGGAAGTAAAGGCGGAGGCACTGCCGGCTCAAGCAACACAAACACTCGGGGATCGGGAGGCGGACGAGGTGGAGGTGGAGTCGGGGGTGGCCGTGGCAGGGGAGGAAAGGGACGTGGCAATAAGTCCTAGGCTGCATGATGAATATGGCAGTGGAAGTGTTGACCTTGAGGAGCATAGGACTCAAAGGGACATTGGGCACACGGTATACGGTGTAGAGTGCATGATCGGTGGACTTGTTTCGTTGTACTTATTGACTTGATCTTGGCTGTAATTGCTAAGAATAACGTATATATGACCCTCTCCAGCTTGAATAGAAGAATTGTAGACATATTGATAAACCGTGAAACATGTTACTTTGGTGATGTAATTCAGCAGGGTCCATCGCGATAACCTTGAGAAGCAACTCAACCGACCTAAGCAAGTCGATCAATTGGGACTTTATTCTCTCCTTTTACTGTATTACATGAAGAGTTTAGCTCAGTATGTGAGTGTAACACATAATATGCTATGTAACTCCATCAAGGCGAGTCTCTAATTCGCCAAGAGTGACTCTCAAGGTTGCCGTGAGAGTGCCATGGTCGTCCCTCCACAATGAGAGAGAACAGCTTTTATCGAGGGCGGACATGTGGAGATCGTCTGATGAAAGGCGTGAAACGTTCCGGATCTACAAAGCTAGACTGCATAGAGAAGGCTACAGATACATACCAGAGGCAGAAGCATTACGATAACGGAGAGTAGCATTGCGGCCAAGCAGGCAACGCCTCTCAGCTTGAAGATAAGCTGAAGGGCTTATCTCGTTCGTGGAAAAGAGTCGGGGAGAGGAGGGGAATGTCATGAGTCAACATCCCATCTATGACTGGTGCTTAGATGTGACAACCACCATGAGCCAACCAGAAGAGACGAACGGGGTAATGAAGGATGTTCTGCCTAGTTTATAGCAGAAGTTCTTTAATGATAGTGAAATAGGGTCAATGCATTGCATATGTCCTTGAAGGCCCTTGAATTGCGTGATGCTGTGCTCTAAGACTTATGGAAACTCTGGGGTTGGAGTAGCCAGGCCGGGCAAATGAATGGAGGTGGGTTTCCATCGGGGATGGATCATGGAGGCGCTTAAAGCCCCCGGGATTATCGAAAGCATCCACTGAAATGCACTGACCGAGATCCCCTGTTGGGTACGATCCGAGCCCCCCCTTCAGTGGAGGGCTGTCTGAGGTGCCGGTGTTTTGAGGTCCATGCATGCATTGATATGAATATGGATGGATCGTTATCTTGTAGTCTACGGCAGGTCACAAGACATGAGCGAGATAGATTAGAAAACTCGCTCATATAATTTGGACATGGACAAGTTGCGGTAAATCCAACATTTATTATTCTCATCTTGTGTTGATCAACTAATAGCTGACTCGACTCAGGCGCAAGACGTGCCCATGAGCCCTGTGACTGTGACGTGAGGCTCTAGCCGATGACGACAACCCATTATTATCCAATCCACTCCCTGTCGCCCATCCCATCACGAGGTCGTTGGTGGTGACCTCTTCCGTCTCTGTCTCTATCTGTTTACTGTACCTTTTCCCTCTCATCCCGTCGCCGTTGGAATGTCATTCCGGCTCTGACAAAACACAATCAAACTTGCTTCTATTTCAGAGTTGGGCCTGCTGCAGCAACCCGCGACCTATCGTCTTGTTTTATCTCTATTTGCGGACACAAACAAGTACCTTGCCTTGCACAAGCAAACCGCAGTACCTGTACCATCTCTGGGCTCTTGTTAGTGCGACTGGATTGGCCTGTACTGTACAGTGTTAGACCCTCTTCTCTCACACCTCACTTCAGACCTATTACAACGACAACGACCCTGGACTGGGAGTTGCGTTTGGCTGCCTGCATCTGCGTCTGCATCTCACCGACCGACAGCAAGGAGATACCTGGGCTTGGACCTGGACCTGGGCCTGAGCTTTCTGCCTTTTGCTTTTCTTTCTTCTTTTTTACACTTTTGCCTACACTTTTACCTCCACACTCCCCCGACCCAAGCACCGCCGACTACCGATCCATCAACTCCTCCGTTCTCCGTTCACCCTTATCGACTTGAACTGCCTCGAACGACATGAACTATGGATGAGCAGGTCTCGTGGCCGATCAAGATCCCTATACGTTCGTGATCAATTCATCCATCAACCAACAATTACGACCGTACCCTCTTCCTTGCGCACACGACACGATACGATATACGATAACCGATAACGATGCATCAACAACCCCGTGGCCCAGCCCGGGTGTCATCCCCAGGTGCAACGCACCATCCAACCATTCCATCTCGATCCAACAGCACCAGAGAAGCTGCATTGGGATCCCGACCTCGAGCTGGCTCTAATGTTGCTGGTAGAGACACACCAAGCTCGCCAACTATTGGAGATATGCCGACACCGGCGCCTCCAGCCGACTCGATCAAGAAGCTCGATCAAATAGTACAGGTATGAATGGCCGGGATTCAAGAATACATTGGTCAAGGTCCGTTGCTAACAAGTTCTCTCCCCTGCAGAACTTCTATGCAAAGGCAGCCGTACTCGTCCTCGACTCACGCATCAAATCCAAGCCTGCGCGCGGGGCCAACGGTGGGCGGAAACCCAACAAATGGGTAGGTTTGCAGCCTGTTTGCACACTCAGTCGCTAATATTGGGGTAGTTCCAAATAGAGACGGATGAGATTGATGACTTTCGAGATGAGCTCAAGATCTGGAAGACTTGCGGTAGCTTCGATAACCCCCCTCCTCCAATGGTCATCGAGGTATATCTAGATACCTCTCGATTAAAAGACAGTCAGAGTCTAGTCATCGTTGATGAGGCTGGCAAGAGATGGGATGTGATGGAACAGCTGAACTCATCCGGTTCCTCTACCGATAGCTCGTCTGGCGCATCCCGGAGAAACAACGAGGTTATCATTGAGAGGTGGCGAGTCGAGCTCAAGTACTCAGGCGTAATACCCACGGACTTTGGCCCGATCCTACCCACCATCTACAAGAAGGCCATTGTTTTCTTCCGGTCTCTTTTCATCACGACTCGCCTTCTTCCAGCATGGAAGTTTGCCAGCCAAGGTCCCGCCAAGAACTCACACCCGGCGCTTATTCCACGATGCCGAATACGTTTATCTCAGTCTGATCGCTCACGTAATGATCAGCTGCGTCTTCCCATTGACGGCAGACCAGACCCCGTGACGGAGTACATGTTTGGCGATTTAGAGGTGCCCGTTGGACGACTAAGCACTACTGTCACCTATCGCAATGATTGCAACTTCCGCGTGGATGACTCTGAGGCTCTACTGAGTTCTCGTTTCATGGGAGTGGACGAGAACTTTTTCCGACCTTCCATTCCACCGCTGAATGACCAGTCAAGAGCGCAGATAACGGAGGCAGGGTCACTGCGTGACAACCGCTCGCGTCCAAACTTGAGTGATATGCAGCAGGCATATGGAAGTCTTTCAACGTTTCACACTAATGTCCCAATGGGGACCAGCCCGATCTCGGCTTTGAGATCGGTGCGACCACCAGGCTCCGACACAAGCTCACCCCCAGAGTCTCTGCCAGCACAGAATAGTGTGGGTGGTCCAAGCTCTTTGCCAGTACGTCAAAGTGCAGCACGACCCCCTTTGCGAACGACCGAGGGCTCAAGCCGGCGTCCTTCAGTATCTTTTCAGCCTTTCAAGGCGGGCTCGCTCTCGGGCTCGCCTGTCCCAAGGCAGATTGATCCTGAGCCGGCTTCTCCTCAAACGTCGACTCGTCCAGGTATTCCTTCCCTTAAGCAAGCAGGAAACCGAACATCTCTTACTGCTGGCATGCCAGCTTCTCTGCGGGGTGGTCCTCCTCCTCCGGCATCTACAGACCCTGCTGTTGCCAGCTCCCCGCGACCAGCATCGACTAGTCGCTATAGTAGCAGTTTCACACATCGCCGTGGTCGTCTATCTTTTGGAGGAGCCAGCAGGGCTGGTGATGACGAGCAGGGCAGCAGTGGCAGGCAGAGTTTGGCCTCATCGGTGGCACAGCCAGGATCTGACCTCCTGGATGAGGTCGCAGGAACTAGCTCAGACTCGCTCCAGAACGACCATAAACACCTCTCAGACTTTATCAGCGCACTGGACAGTAAAAAGACCTTGAAGAGCTTTGGTCCCTCAAAGAAAGGTGAATCAGCAACTAACAAGACTGTGGCGCAACTATCGCGCTTTCATCAAATGAGGGACTCCAATAACGCGCTCACGGATTCGATGACATCGTCTGTACAAATGCAGAGGTCATCGAGCTCATCCAGTCGACAATTGACGAGTGTGCCTGGGATGACTGCACCAGCTTCTGTGTCTGCTTCGTCGTCTCCTGGGAAGCCACTCTCACCTCATACACCCCACACGCCAGCAATTCCGTCAAGATTGAGCGAGAACTCGATTATTGATTACACTGGCCAAGGACGAATTACTTCACGTCAGGGGCGAGCATCTGATAATAACCCTGCACCAGGGACGATCAGAGAGAATACGGTTACACAAGATGGAACGACAGCCATCGACATTCCATTGTCACCTCGGCTAGCCACGTATGAGCGAAGGGCGAGCTCTGTTGCGCTCCACAATCGGTCGATGGCGGATGAAGATGAGCCGGACTCCGCTTTTGCGCACCGATCTATCAGCTTAGGTGCTGATGATAGAGAACCACCTACTCTAAGCATCTTGCTGGGTAGGCAGATGCAGCTCGAGGGAGGGTCAACTCAAAGGGGATCGGATGAACTCAAACCAGCTGCTGAAATCGAGACTTCTGACACGCCAGGGATGATGCAGCGCGGTCTGTCAGAAGAGAACCCTCCTGAGGGGCTGATACCGACAGCAGCGTCTAGCTCACCTTTTGGTAGAAGGCGGTATATGGGTATGGCTTCACATAAGCAGACACCGCCGCAATCATCGCGTGGAAGCTTTACCGGATCTATCACCAGACAGGTCCGGGGTGACGATGACTCGATTAACGAGGAGCCTCTGGTCTTTGACCTGTCAGAAATGGATCCGCAGGGTCGGCGAAGCATCGAAGAAGCCCGCAGCGGCGCCCATGGGGCAACAAATGCTACATCAGATAAGGGAGGATACGAAAGCCGTGGTGCTTCAAGACGGGGTTGGTGAGAATGACATATCGGAATATGAATTTTGGACACAAATTACATACAAGATCTATCTAACGGCAAAGTGAGAGCAACGACACCCCAGCTTCATTAGAGCCACGAGTTATGTTTCAAAGGCAGTGGAGTTGCAGGCAGGATGGCGCATTGGATGCGTGATACAGTAGATTGCCAGGTTATTTATGTATGGATGGATGGAAGCGGCGTATATGGACTTGTATACATTATTCATAGGTTGATACGATTCAAAGCAGCGTTGACTGTAGCGTTAGCAAGCGGCATCCCTCTTTTTAGGCGAGCCACAGAATATTTACATTATTCATGGGATATACGTGCCAAGGGGTGTTTGCTCTTGATGCGAAGCTTGGGACTCTGTCCGATAATGCCCAATCCGAGGACCACGCCACGTAAGGACGTCACCAAAGGGATAAGGGACGCGCAACTCGTCACGAAGTTGAAGACGAGTAATTAAAGGCTCCGCAGTGAAAGTAATTCTTCCGTAAAAACGGATAGAAACAGCATATTTCGTATTAGTTTTTACCAGTGAATGACTATATAGCTTGCTTCAGCCCAGTAGATGTATGGCAGATCTTAATAGAATCTCGCCAATGTCAGAGAGTCAGATGATAGTAAAAATGGAATCAAACCTGATCGACAAGAAGTTGGCTGTGCACTTCTGAATGTGGTTGCTAGCGAAGGACGTCGTTGTGGCGCACGCGTGGCCTTCAAGCCACATGGGCCAGGGAGCTTGTCCTCTGGGTCGGGGTAGGTAGCTCAGCCCCGCTACCTCCCTCGCCGCTCGTTCGTCATCAGAGCGAGCGAAAGGTAAAAGCGAAGCTGGAAGCCTGTTCTGCTAAACACTCGCTACCTACAAACTCTCTTCACGGGCCTGCCTTACTTTATTAACGAGTTCGTTTTGTTTTTCACACTCGACCCATTCACTATTATCTCGCCCTGAAGACAACGCCAGACGCCTACGACGCTTTACTTACCCTTTGAGAGTAATCGAGCAAACCAGAAGTGACGTGCCTGTGGAGTGCGACCACCGACGACGTAACCCAGGGTCTTGGTACGGGACCTTCGTCTCGCATCTCGCATCATTATCACCAGCCTTCTTCCACCACCAAACAACAACATCGTCGGTTTCGTCGAGACTATTCTTCTATATATACGGTGGATATTCGCATTAGATACCCAAGGCTCTCAGCCGACGAATTCATCCCGCGCCTCTCTCGCGTTGACTACATCCCCGCCAATAACTGATACCCCAAGTCAAATCGCCAACCACCATGTTCCGAGCCTCAGCAGCAGGCCCTTATGATGAGGTCGTCAGTATGTAGCGCCCTCCGCTTTATTGGGTTCGGGCAAGAGAATCTCAATAACTTTCTCTCGTCTCGATATGTGCTTTCTTGCGACTAACACCGGTATAGCCAAGGCCACCGACGAGAACCTCACGTCTGAGGATTGGGGCGCCATTATCGAGGTCTGCGACAAAGTAGGCAACGACCAAAATGGCCCCAAGGAGGCTGTTCAGAGCATCATTAGACGTCTTGCGCATCGCAACGCCAATGTCCAGCTTTACACTCTTGAGGTATGTTGAATACCACGCCGTCATGTGAAGCCTTGTTTTACTGACTCAATCAGCTTGCGCATGCACTAGCCCAAAACTGTGGGAAGAACATGCACCGTGAACTTTCCAGCCGTGCCTTTACGGATGCCCTCCTCCGTCTTACCAACGACCGTAATACCCACACACAAGTCAAGTCTAAAATTATCGAGCACATGAAGAGCTGGTCCGAGATGTTCAGCAGCGATCCCGAGTTGGGCATTATGAGCGATGCCTACAACCGTGCCACACGAAGCAACCCGAACATCCAGCCCCCAAGTGCTCCTCAAAAGCAGGGCCTCACCGAGCTCGATCGCCAGAAGGAAGAGGATGAATTGCAGATGGCTCTCAAATTGAGTCTGCAGGAGGAGGAGCGCAAGAAGACTGCTGCAAGCAGTCCAGGCGCACAAGCCGGTCCTAGTGGCCAGACAGAGAGCCCTGCTCCTTCTGCGCCAGCTGGAACTACAGCGGCCACGGTGAGCCGGGTACGTGCGCTCTTCGACTTTGCTCCTTCTGAGCCCGGAGAGCTGGAATTCAAGAAGGGTGATGTGATTGCTGTTCTCGAGAGTGTATACAAGGACTGGTGGCGAGGCTCTCTCAGGGGCAAGACTGGCATCTTCCCGCTCAACTATGTCGAAAAGCTCACCGATCCCACACCGGATGAATTACAACGCGAGGCTCAGATGGAAGCCGAGGTGTTCGCCGAGATCAAGAACGTTGAGAAGCTCCTCACGTTATTGAGCACTTCCAACACAGCGCCCCGAGAGGAAGATAACGAGGAGATTTCCGTAAGCACCCAGTATGATGCAGAATATTTTCAGTATGCTAACAGGTTCTGCAGAAGCTTTACCACCAGACTCTTGCGATTCGACCCAAGCTTATCAAGCTGATCGAGAAGTACTCTCAGAAGAAGGGCAAGCATTGGAGGCCCCCAGGATTGGATATGATACTAACATCCCTCAGATGACTTTACACAGCTGAACGAAAAGTTCATCAAGGCTAGACGGGACTACGAGGCTCTGTTGGAGTCTTCCATGGCCCACCCTCCTCAGCACAACTACCAGCAATACGCAATGCGACCGGGTCCCGGTCAGGGCTATCCTCAAGCTGGCGGATATCCTCCCCAGGGAGCAGCTCCTCAGGACCCCTCAAGATATTATACTCCTGGCCCACAAGGTATGATGGTCCTTTGCCCTTGCAATGGAAGAACCTCTTTCTGACCTTTTACAGAACAACCTCCTTATCAAGCATCGTCTCCTCCCCCTAACTTCCAGAACCAACCTCAAGGTCAACCGGCACCTTTCTATGTAGCAGGAGCTGAGGTGCCCGCTGGTTCGCAGCCCTACCCTCCCCGGAACGAGTCTCCTTCCAATGGTAAACAGCCAGCCCCTATCAATACCTCGACACCGGGCCCGAACTTCAACCCTTACAACCAATCTCAGAGCAACAACCCTTACACGCAAGCGCCTACGGGAGGACGGCCTGGTAGCACATACGGAGCCCAAGAGTTGGCTACATCTGTCTACGATTCCCCTATAGCAACCAACAACCCACACCAACCGACTTCGGCTGCCACATTTTCAAGCTCGGTGTATTCTCCTGAAGAGCCCAACGAGAACGCCAGCGCACCACCCCCTGGTCCTTATGCAACGCATCAGCAGCAGCCTCAACAATACCAGAGCTACAACCCTTCCCAAGTCCCTCCCATGCCCACAGGGTCAGCTCCCCCTCCTCCTCAGAGTGTCATGACACCTCCCCCTCTGAACCCTGGAAATGCCGGCGGATATGACGCTCGTCATGGTCTGCCCAGCCAAGGTGGTGCTGGTGGTCAGGCTCAATACAAGCCTTATGTGCCACCCGGCGATGGTCCTTCGGCTCCTGCACCAGACAGTTACTATCAAAGCGGTGGAGTTTACTAAGGATTTGATGATTTGGAGGATAGTCGACTGCTGCTATAGCTTCAATACATTCCTGACGCGTGCATAACGCGGGGACTTTTTGTTTTAGTGGTCAAGTTTTTTTGCTTGGGTTGATCATTCCTGGGCTCCTGTTGATTTGGTCCTTGAAGCTTCTGATCGTTATATTTATTATTTGCCATGTCTATTCCATACGAGTTGCCTTATAGTCGCTAGTTGGATTAGTTTGCGTATTGCAACGTTATAGATGATGGGCTGGACTAGGGGGGGTTTATGTTGAGAATTAAAGACCAGGTCAAAGCAAGCTTCGGATTGAATGTCTCCCACTCTGTAGTTCATGACATTAATTCTATGCTTTTTTATGTTCTATTCAAATATTTTGGATCGGATGATATATCCATGTTCGATAATAGTCTCCCTCTCGCGAACCAGTAACGGCCTCGTTTCGTTTCACAACCTGAAACCTCGACCGTCTCGCCCCTGTAACACCCTATTTTTTGCCGCCTCCCGCCCCCGTTTTCCTCTCTGTCTCCCTTTCCCCCTCCTCTTTTGTTCTTCCCTTAAACATATTAAAAAATATATATTAATTCTTTGCCCTACGCATTTCTTTCTCTTCTACCCTGTCTAGGTAGTTAATTTTTTTGTCGTTTCAGCTGGTTCTGTAACTTCAAGTGTCACTCTCTTCTGGCCGCTCAATATCACGCCACTATACACATATTCATATTCATCATCGGCATCATCAACATGAAGACCACAGTCTTTGTCACGCTTCTCTCTGCGGCTGCTTCGCTCGTCAGCGCCGGCATTGTCGTCACGCCTGTTTTCTTTAACCAGATCGTTGAGAAGCTCTCTGGCGATTGTCCTTTTGGCGTAGTTACTCCTCAAGGTTGCGCGTGAGTTCGGTCCTTCGATGGGTTGAGTAGTTGGAGTCATACTTACTGATATTTCGATAGTCCTCAGCGCGGTTAGAGACTGAGCTCTCTAGCCCGTGGTTGATTCGATTATAGTGATTTGGTTTGGCGTTTTCAGACAGTTCTAAGAACTCTTCTATTTGGATGTGTTAAAGGCTTGAGCAGATAAGAATTTCATAATATTTAAGCGTGTCCTTCAACCTCCAAAGCGTCTCCATCCTGCACGAGTAGGACTAAAGCTCGTTGAATTCGAACTTGAACTGAACATGTCACTTACTAGGTTTACATATTCTTTTCTACTGGCATGTCTAAACCCTCAATGCCATGTTAAGAGTTTGCTTACTCGACGTCTTGATCAATTTTACGGAGTTAGTCTCCGACTGTCCGCTAATCGATGTTACTCTATCGATTCATATCAGTATCGTCCCATAAAGAATTGTCAAGCTCTAGTTACCCATTACCACGTATCATTTCCCGTCCTTATACACAGTTCGTAACATCGCAGCCGTCTGAAGAAAATTGCTAGAAAGTCTACACATGCGATGCCACTTCAGCCTCATCTGGATGACATTCATTCATGGCCTGAACCGCGACCTCGTTGGCTTCGGTAGAGGATTTACGGAAGCTCTTATCCTGGAGACGTTTTGCAACATTGTACGTCAAGAACTTTTTGACGTCGGGAACCAAGCAAGCGGCGACAAGCATGATACATGAGAACGGTACAGTGGCGTAGAAGACATAATGTAGTGAGTTGGTGTAGGCTTTGACAACGGCATCTCCGACTGATTCAATGATGGCCTTGTTGATACCGGGTACATCTGAGTAATCGCCTTTGTTGATAGCCTCAAAGAGTGAAGGTAGGGATTTGGTTGGCAGACCAAGTTTAGTTGCAGCTGGGGTCACGTACTCGGGCATCTTCCTGGTCAACTCGTTGCTGAGAATAGAGACATACAAAGCCTGAGCAATGGCACCACCGAGGGCACGAATCGATCCAAGAATGCCAGATGCTAGGCCGATATCTTGGGGTTCCCAGAGCAGAGTTACACAGGTGACTGCAACATTCTCAATGTACCCAACGGCAGTGCATGCAATCAACCCGAATGCGATTGTATTTGCCCACCGGTCAGGAGATAGGGAACACATCGACGTGATGAAAGTCATAACAAGAGCAGCAGCGCATATGCACTGGATCTTGAGGTGAGGAACATAGGCAATAGCGAGACCTGACATAGCTTGGCCCAGAACAACTCCACCACCAATCACGCAGCTCTGCCAGCCAACTTTGATGGAATCTGTGGTGTACAGTGCGCTGATAATTGTAGGCCAGAGAACTGTCAAGGAGTAGTAAACCATGGAGGCAACAGTCGCACAGGTGACTACTGCGACGAACCCAGTGTTCTTAAAAACACTGGACGGAATCAGGGGTTTTACAGAACAGAAGTGGGCCTCTTCCTACAGTATTAGCGGACTCTGAAGAGAAATTTGAGATCAAGAAACCATACCATATACAAAGAAGCCGGCAAGGGTCATTATACCAGTGACTAATGTGCACAATACCTCAGCACTCTTCCAAGGATATGTCGTACCGCCCCAAGAAAGGCCAACGAGGAAGAGAACGCATCCAGTAGTGAAAAGAGACATGCCAATCCAATCAAGCTCTTTGGTTTGCTGTATTCTCGTCTTCCCGACGTGGAGTTGAGAAAAGGTTGGTGGGTGGTAGAGGAACTGATATAGAGCCAGAGTGATTACACTCAGAATGATGCCCAGATAGTAACTCCAGCGCCAGCCTTCATGTATGTTCTCGATCATCGTTCGGGCTACGACTGGGCCAAAGACTCCAAATGGGATCGACGTCAAGAAGACAAAACCCATGATGGGACCTCGATGCTTGTTGGGAACAAGTTCACCTAAGACAATGCCAAAGGAGAGCTGCCCAGCAGCTGCAAGACCATTGCACCCATTCGAAGCGATGAGCATACCTAAGCTCTTTGCGGTGCCACCAATAATGCAACCGATGAGGCCCAGTAGAGTAGTGCTCATGACCATCCACTTTCGGCCATATAGATCGGACAGACGGCCAATGATGAGAAAGCCAATAGAAGATCCCATAGTCCATATAGTCGCTACCCATGCGATTTGAGCGGAAGGACCAATGTCGGCATTTATCAAAGCGCTGTGGCAATCCACGTTAGTAATCTCGACAGAACATGCGCAGTTCTTACGGTACCATAGAAAAGGATCGGCTGATACAGGGGCAAATGCAAGATGAAGACACATACAGAGTATTTGAGGGGAGCACCCATCCTAGGTATGCGCAAGTACTTGCTAGACACTGCGCCTATGGAACAAAATCAGTACCCCTCTCAGTCTCGGTCTGGATATCAGACTTACAGCAAGAGTACCAATGAACTGAGGACTCCGATAGTAGCCATTAGGCATTCGGTCGAGCTCATCGCCGAAGGCATTCTTGTCAACATACTCGACAGTACCATCAGCCATGATGATCTCCTCAGCGTTGACAGTCGGCTGGGGGCTGCCTGAGCCATCCCCACTATCTTCAGGGCCGAATGTCTCGAATTCCCTCTCCTTTCCTATATAGCCATCGACGCCAATATGGCTGAGATTCGACATGGTGTTTATTTTTGAAATCCTTGACAGTCAAGTTCCTCTGAAATGTCTCAACTCAGGTCTGGTCTATGCTCTGCGGTGTTGAGGATACGAGAAAGTCCCAGCATAATCTGAGAAGCCACGTCAGGAAGTGCAATCACTCGGAGATTCGAGATGGCTCATCATCAGCCGCTGGAATATCTCCGAGTTATGGCGATCGAGTTGTATCTCGCACTTACGTGTGACCGGTGGTAGAGGCAGTCGATGTTTTCTCTTGTGAGTACAACATTGTCAGCACATAAGTTGGAGGCAGAACCCAACCCATAAATGATCGGCAGATCCCTACGAGTGATCCCAGGCTAGGACCCTTATCCATGATCTTGTGCTTCCATGAGTCGTGTCGGGCGTCAGACAGAGTGGTCTAGGCTAGGGATGGACCGTGGCCCTAGGCGAGACGAGGTAAGGCTTCGAGTTTATTTCGCTGAGGCCGTTGGATGAGCCAGGCCTGCTTGGGCGGGGAGAGCGGATATACCTTCTTCTGGAACAGGGTTCTTTTTGTCAGGACAAGGTCTGGCGGACCTTGTATTTGATGGTTGGTTGCTTGGAATGTGGTCAGCCGAGGCGAAACTCAACTGCTTTCAGGCCTTAGACTGGTCTGTGGCGATCCCTCTGTTGACAAAAGCAGTAAACAGTGTTGAATTTCTGTCTCATGTATCAAGACCTGATGCCAATGCCTGTGGGACTGGGATGCTTGATGTTGGCTGGAGGGAGAGCAAGCGAATGTCTCATATGAATTCAACACAAAGTCAGTGGTTCAAGTGCTACCTCATTGCAGTATGGAAATTCAGGTTCACCGCGGGCAAATAGCGGGAGAAGGTGTGTCTTACTCATACTTTTGACAAGGCAGTTGCGTTGCAGAACTCAAGGATAAAGTATCACTAGCAAGTCGGACCTTGAGTTATACTACTCCCTACCTTAACCTCTAAAGTTACTAGAAGAAAGAAACTCTGGTGATTTTGAAGGCCAATTCTAGCAATAATATGCTCTAAATTAACGATAAGAGTAAATTAACAGTTCATCGGTTTTGCGACCCTCTTACCCACTACATCTGTATGTTGACGTGTGATAATCCCCTCTCCCAAATGCTCATGGTTACACAAGAGTCCAGCGGGCATTTGGCATTCTCCGACACTTATATCTTTCCTCGAAGGAGACCACCAGGCCATATGGATTATTTACCGAGATTCTCTATATATATTTAAATATATTTTTATTTACTATTGAAAGCTCCCAGGCAAGCATGTCTTGTGTACAGGGTAACAAACTTACATATACATAGTCGTGTCAATCATGAAAAAAAAAAAAACTAACTCGTTGACAAACAGAAACATCCAGGAGAAGTTAACAAAGACTACCTTATATAAGGTCGTCATTTATAGTGGTTCATGTGCAGATACAATGTGAGAGAGAAGGTCTCCGAGAGTGTCGGTTGCCCACAGAATGAAATTGTGTGCTTGATTGGCTAAAACTACATTCTATATCCGCAAGAATATCATGTTACTTTGACATAGGACCACCATAAAAAAAAAGCTATTTTGAGCCCTCAAACTTACCTAAAATCAAAGTAGGCTGTGCAACGGTTTCCCTGTCCATGCTGATGACTGTTACATATAACTGCCATCCTATAACTTGAACACCCACTTGATCTTTTGTTATACTCGCTACGAAACTGTTGTCGTTTGAGCCCTGATAGGCCCGTTTCATATCACAACTCTGCGACAACTACCCTGACCAAGTATAGTCCAGTCCACGCCTCAACACCATTGTCTTGCTCTTTTCAGTGTATACACAGAGCGACCAGCTATCGGAGCAGATAATCACAACTCCAAAGACAATCGTGTTTAAGTGACCAAATCTTATTCAACTAATAAACAACATATCTTGACGTACATTCACCTCCAGCTCATATCCATCCATCATCTATTGTCCATAGATGTATGTAAACCCAAAACCATTCTAACTAGGCAGACACCCAAACTCCACCCTGATTACTGTCCTTGTTCGAGCGAAATAGTATTCTCGAATTAGGGACCACCACTGATACTCACACCGAAAACCGCCAGGGCCACGGCCAAGTCGAATGGCTCTGTCTATCCCTCTTTGATAACCAGTCATAGTCTTCATGCTGCCGAGGCCGTCTTGTTGCCAGACTCACCCCCTGCTGAAGCCGCTTGGAAACCACCGAAACCACCACCACCGAAACCACCTCCGTTACCGCCTTGGCCACCCTGACCTCCCTGACCTCCCTGACCACCGCCGCCATTCTGGTCACCACCTTGGCCGCCCTGGTCACCGCCCTGACCTCCGTTTTGGTCGCCGCCTTGGCCACCAGCATTCTGGTCACCACCGGCATCAGCAGCTTGGTCTCCTCCGTTCTGGCCACCGCCTTGGCCTCCGTTCTGATCACCTCCCTGACCTCCGTT